CTGAAAGCTGATTTCGATCGCGGATATTGGGCAGGGTCAAATCTAACTGAATAATTTAGTCAAAAACAAATATTTGTTCGAGTCTTGCCTCACATTTTGCTTGAGCATGCTGCGGCGTGGAGGAAGATCAGCCAAACGGTTGCAAATTGTGGAATTCCGCGGACGTTCCCATAAAGCTAAGCTCTCTGAAAGGTCGGCATGAATCAAATCCTATTCAAGTGAGCTAATTTAACTTCTCCAATCTTCATATTAGAAATCTCACCTTTGCGAATCTGAACATGCCCATTTCTTCCGAACCTACTAGTCACAAAACTGGCGGATGCTTGACTATTAACACACTGAAAGTTCGCAGGTAATAGTACCTCAGAGAAACCTTCACCCAAGTCATTATGCAAATTGCAACGAGAGGGCAGTACGCGTGTTTGTTCTTGTTGTATTTACGTAACAGGCTGTGCACTAGACGTGTTGGATTAAAACGGTGCTCAGAATGGCTCACGGCACCGTTTTGTGGACAGCAAGAAGAAATAATTACTGCATGACGTGTTTTAGACGTGGACCGTCAGGCCTCGTCAGCCATTGCGCCAGTTGGTTGGCAAGCTGGGGCAGTCGCCTGGTGCAAGGGAAGAGGGAAGGTAAGGTGGAGGGGGGAGACCGAGGAGTGCGTCCTCACTGACGCACTCTTACACCATCACCACGCGCGCTAAACATCGTAGCTTGGTAGGTTGCCATATGACGGGGTAACTGGATCTTCGTGGCAATTCCTGTATGAAAGCTAGGACTTACAGTCCCTTCTGACTGCACGGTTTCGAAGATGTCCCACCCCCTCCCCCTCCTCAAACACAGATGGGCTCCGAATCTCGTCGTTTCATGAAAACCTCGTATATTGTGCGGGGACGAGGTCCTGTGTGGCACGCGTAGACAGATTTTTGAGCTTTTTTCGCCTCAGATAGGTCTGATCCAGTACTATCACCACCACTACCACCGGGAACCACTGCGCTAAGCTCAACACCAGGTGGTTCGCAGGCTCCGACAGTCGACTCATAAGAAAGAGAGAAGGAAGAGAAAGTGATTCCAACTGGCGCTATAACCTATAAGGGCTGAGAGACGGGCTGCAGTGTCCCTCCCATTGTGACCTTTACGAAATTCGCTAATGTGGTTTTCTAGCCGTTTCCACTGAGACCCGGTATATAAAGTGGAGACTAGGTCATGTGTGCCGCAAGTAGTTGAACTGCTTGTCCTCATCGGCTACTGCTTTCACGCCCACCTGCAGTCACCTTAACAGTGCTTTGCCACCTGCGTAAGATCGCAACGGAAGAGAGGGAGGGAGAGAGAGGGCGGTAAACAGTTTGCCTAATTGTAAACTAATTCGTACGTGAAGGAAGGTATAGCTTGTGACAGTCGAACTGTTCCCTACTTTACACCCAGCCCAATCTGTGT